GATGAAGTTTGTGCTTTACAGAGGCTTTATTGTGCAATTAAAACGTGTGCTTACTAAAAGCAGAGCCACATTGGAGATAACAAAAAAATTGTGGCTTTAACACAGATTGGGTGCATCTATAACTGTGTGCCTGTAATACCTGCCTTTAAGAAAGAGATAGAGAGCGGGAGAGTGAGTTTAACCAGTGTTTAATTATGCAATTAAAAAGGTATGCCTGTGTTTAAGATTAACAGAGATGTATCCTGACTGTATGCTTGAATTTAAGCGAGATATGACACGAGGGAGAAAAGAGAGGGAATTTAAGTTAACAAGCCTTTCGTGCAATTAAAAGATAAGTCAAAGCTGCTTTCATCTGACATAGAATGAGAGAATGATTTTGAGTTTTAGCATGCCTTTTGTGAATCCATAAGGTACGCCTGTGTTTGAGATAGAGAGAAGAAAAGGAAAACAAGAAGTTTTAACAAGCTGTAAAAAGGTAAGCCTACAAAACCCATGTTCAAAATGAAAGAGAGAGAAAGACAAAGTGGCACAGAGGCAGTGAATGCAAAGGTCTCAGCTTTCTTGGTGAAAGGTAGATTAGAAGATTGATTCTTATATATGTTAAATCTGTAGCTGGCACCAGCAGTCTGCTAGCTTATTTTGTCTTAGCGTAGCTTAGTTGAGCTTAGCATAAATTTAGTGTAAATCAGTGTTGTGAAAGTTCACACTTCACAAGAGCAAGCTCAAAGTTCACTTCACACTGATTAAAATGAACCAGTTCATAGTTCACAATTTTGAATTAAGTCCCAAAAAGTACCTAGTTTGTGCGAAAGTAATACTACTGTTGTGCAAGTAAAAGTGAAATTGCTGTAAAAAATATACTAAGATCAAAGTACATAGTCAGTCAGTTGGAATGATTACATGTTACACCATTACATTTTTTAAAGGGGAATGTAGAGGGGTGAAAAATGTTTGGCTTTATTGTGATAATAGTAATATCATATGATAAAACTATTGAATTAAAGAGCATCTTTAGGCTACCATGTACATATGTAGGCATTGAAATAACAATGCATATACACTGGTGGTAAGCTGCAGCGAAAACAACAAAATTTAAGCAGTTCAAGTCCAGTTTATAAACTTTTATGGCACAAAGGTGAAACTGCCAAGGTAAAGAAAAAAAGTCACCATCCCTACCAGACTGAAAAGGATTAGACAGGTGGAGAAGATGAAAGTCTGCTCAGTCATCAAACCTAAATATTGTGGCTTTGGAAAAAGCTTTACCCTTTCTATTTGCCGAGCCAATAAATGAAAGGCTTTTCACAACTAATTAACATGACGGCTCGGATGTTCCATGATATTGACAGTGGCTTTCTGGGCTGGTGTGGGTTGATGCACAGGTTATTTTTAAGATACCAGACAACCGCAATGCATAATTTATCACACCGAAGGATAACCCTCCCGAGCTGGTGAAAAAGGAAGTAATAAGGGCAACAAGGCATGCAGCTGAAATGACTGATAATGCTTTACAACAGCTTCTAAATAGAGTAGATGAAAAAAAATCCTGTTTGCACATCATCTTAAAGGGAAGTGTAATTATCTATCAGCCAATCAACACCTAGCACTCACTTCCTGAGTCTGACCTTGCTGGACTCGTCACCATGGAAATATATTCTCTTTCTTGTACAACACAGCTTGGTCATACAAAAACCAGTGTGTGTGTGTATGTGTGTGTGTGTGTGTGTGTGTGTGTGTGTGTGTGTGTGTGTGTGTGTGTGTGTGGAGATGAGCTACGAACAAGACCAGTTTTCCATGTTTTTCTCTCTCGAGGGCACCTTGGAAACAGTCTTATTCTGCAGTTTATGGTTTATAATACTGTTTCCAAAAACAAATATGCAGGAATGATGAACCACTACCCCCAGGTGCACACGCTCAAAACCACACACACAATCTCATTCTGCCTGGTCACAAATGTTCTTTTCACACGCAGATCAGATAAAAATGCGAAAATGGCAGTATTTGTTTTCTTTTCATTTGGGATCTATTATGACATTCTGCATAAATAATGCATCTTCAGGAAATACTGAAATATTTACAGAGCATACAGTATATTGAAAGAATCTGACTGTATTGTGACTCTGTGTGTGTGTGTGTGTGTGTGTGTGTGTGTGTGTGTGTGTGTGTGTGTGTGTGTGGTTTCTTTTAACATTACTTCCACTGCTGACTACGCCTTGAAGTGAGCCTGCATTTAATGAGAGCTGCTGCTTACAGAAGCAGAAGTACTTCTTCAGTTTGCGTTCCCAGAGGTATTATCAGCCACTGACAGCTGCTTGAATGCAGGACTCAATTTAAGTAGACTATCCTGTCAGATTAGCTTTTGATGGACAGCTGTACAAAAACTTACCTTACAATGTTTATTCCAATGTTGGTGAAAAGTTAAAAAGGATTCAACCATGAAACTGAGAGACTGTTGCAAGATGTGCATTTTTGTTCTCCTGTGCTGAATTTAGACTGAACTGAATAAAAGAGTTCCCAAACTGATTGATTTGGGTGGGTGAATTCTTTTTATGCGTTTTGGACAAAAACATACCTTCCAAGTGAAAACTTCATTTCAGTATTTCTGTAATGTCACTTGAGGGTTTTATACTTATTTTATAACACTCAATAACAAGATTGTGATAATAAAAAAAGCAATCTAAACTGATGAAAAGCAAAATTCAATAACACTAAAAGAAAAAATCAAGGTACAAATAAAGTATATAAAACATGGGAATAAAATGAGTCCCAAAACTGATACCTGTGGGACTCCACATGTAATGTGTGCTAATGATGATTTATATATTGATTTAAAGTCTCCCTCAACTCCACTTTGATATTTGAGCTTCACTGTGCAGAATGATATACAGTATGTGCAGACTTTGGTATTTCACATCCATTTGCCAAAAAGGGGAAGTTTATCTGTGCTCAACTTAAATCTCAGTTTAACACGTCAACATACAAACATGATTTTACGACGTTAATCGTGGGCTAATATGCAGCTTACAGATGTGGAGACTCAAAGCCTCCAGCACACAAACACTGAGAATGGACATTACATGGAAGTCGGAGACATCATGTCTCTAGTAGTTAAACTTTAAATACCAAAATATTTGCATATTTATAGAGTCTGGATATGTCAATGAGAGAGCAGGAGTAAGATGTAATTCTAAGAATTTTAATTGAATTTTTGTCGAAGAAACCATATCAGGCACAAATTATTATTCAAAGCAGAGTATTTTTATGTCTTGAAACAAGTCTTGAGGGGATCTTTAAATTACTGTAATGAAATATGGGATCCTGAATTTAATAGGTTATGATGAGATCTAGGAGATTACATTGTGACACCTGAACATTACACCGATATATGATTTCTGAACATTTAAAACCAGGGGCACTTACATGCTACTTTTAAAGGTTACTCCTGTGATTTAGTATTGCACTTCCATGAAGCTGCAGGGCCTCACAAGAGACTGATTGTCATAATTAAAGTACCAGAATATTAAATATTCTGGCTTTTAATTCCTAGTAGAGTCAAGCTCCAAAAACACTGAATCTTACATTACCTGTGGTCACGCAACCAGTAGTATAATTTTGTTTCTTACACTGTACCTGGTAAATGCCCACAACCCCGGTGACATCATCTGGATGACTTTCTCTGACTCAGACATTATACAAATGGCAGAGAAGTGCACCACCTAGTTTCCTTTATGGGTAAAATTGATGGACTGTCACTTTGACAGCTTCCATTCTTCTGGTAAGGCTTTGCAGAAAATTTCTCCCATTTAACATAACTGAGGTCAGACTCTCATGCTGGCTCACACTCATACGCTCAGGATTCATGTAAAAGCAAGTCAAGTTCTTCCACACCAGCTTTGAAGAACCATTTTTTATGGACTTGGCACAACAGGACACTGATGTCACAAAAGGAAAAGTCCTTCCCCAAGTTGGGAGCACACTATTGTCTAAAATATCACTGTAAGCTTTCTCTTATTTGGAATCAAGGGGCCTGGCCAAAACCATGAAAAACAACAACCTCAAAACGAAAGTACACAAAATTGTGTGGACCACAGCCCCCACATCATTACAGCCATATGGTTAGGCTAATTCATGAAGATAATCAGGTTACAACAAAGAGCATGTTGGAAAACTGTTGACTGGCTATAATTACAGCAGACACAGGTTCAAGATGAGGTCACTTGAGAAAAGTTTGAACCAGCTCAAAAGCGCCTGTGGCCAAACACCAAAAACCCCCCCTTCAGACTAAACAAACTTCAAAGGGATAATATCTAGACAGGTGCAGAATATGCCGGGGGGGGGGCAGTTTCCAAACAGCTCATCCCAGCTGAATAACTAACAGCAGTGCTAGACCTAGACTATATGAATAAATATATAGGGAGTCTTAATCTGGCTTTCATATAATACCACTAAATATTCCTTTAGGCGGATAGTGAATCCATGGCTCCCAATAGTGAGCTAATGCTGTAAACTACTGTGGCATATAGACACACATTTTATGATTTTATACCTTTTTCCTGTAGGTTCTTGGGTTTTTGCTGTGGTTGCTATATTTTGTAGAGGATAAAAATAAGAAATGGATGAATAACTTTTCAGCACTATGGACCTTCAAATTTTGACTGTAGAGGCTAATAATCACATCCAGGTTCATCCTAGGGAGATGTGGTGGTTTAAAAATAATATATGACCTCTACTGAGCTCATCAAAAGGCAGTCACCTGCATTTTAAAGACTATCTGGTGAATAAAGTTTTGCTAAGATGCTACCAGAAGTCAGTGAAAAACCACAACAGAATCTTGCTTCCTGTTTTAACGCTTTGAATCATCTGTGAATTTATCTGAAAGAGATAGATTAAGAGTTAACAGATGACATCTATCATCGAGAGTCTGCACGTTTGATATTGTTTTTTGTTTTTTCATCCACGCGCATGCGCAGTGTCTCATTTCAACTGATTCACATCAGCAGCAGCAGCTTTGGAGATCTACCGGTCCGACGGCACATGGATCCCCAGTGAGAAGAGCGAGCACTCCGGCCACGGGGTAAGACTGACTGCTTCTCCGGTAGTGAAGTGGGTTAGAGTGACGAGAGGAGGCAGCAGCCGAGGACAGAAACTGGGGAAACTCAGTGGTTTGTAAGTGCGACGGAGAAAAAGTGTGAGATGGACTGAGAGGCTGCATGGCCGCGATGACTCACTGGTGTCCAGTGCTGGCGGTTAGTTTATGTCTGTGCTGAGCTGAGATGACCACCATGTCTTCTGATACTGTCTGTTTTAAAATCTGACGTTTTTTGCGTCTTATTTTAGGCTTGTAGCATAAAAAAAAAAATGAAACGTGAAATCATAAATCCAGAATAGGCCTGAGTAAACGACAGTAAACAAACCCTGTTGGATTTTCGGACTGTTTCACGATCCTATGAGACAAATAATACACTGTTTGACCGGACTAAATCTGGACTGCGCTCGCCTGTGAGTCCGCGGGGGAAAGTTGGTGCAAACTCAGCAGCACCATGGACAGCGCTCTGACAGTATAACAGTCTTTATAGGGGACAGAAAAATCAATAGAGTTGATTTGGATTAGGAGCAAATTTCAGACAAAATTTGATATGCTTTCAATATCATTGAAACAGAATCCAGAAATAAATATATAAACCTTATGAAAAAAAAATCACATTAGTAAGACCAATGAGTTTAGAGCTTAATCGTGCCCACATAATAAAGGCTACTGTGAGTCACCAGTTAGTGCTTCATGTACTACTTATTTATTTATTATTATAAAGCCTGATTGATAGATATTAAACAGCAGTGGAAAAAACTATCAGATCTTTGAAGTAAAAACACAGTACCACATGGTAAATATACTTTTATTATTAAAAGTAAAAGTCCTGCATTTGAAATCCCACTGAAGTAAAGTGCAGTATTATCAGCTTAAAGCATCAAAAGTAAAAGCAGCTGTGATATACAGAGTACTGAGTGTGGTATTATTAAATGACTGATGCATCACTGTGGCAGCAGCAATTTACTGTTACAGCTGGTCGAGGTGGAGCTAGTTTTATATAGCTACTTTATCTTGTGGCTAATTTACATCTTTGGGTCTTCAGCAGTTATTTAATGACACCTCTCTGGTGGAACTGCAAACAATGACACTGCTTTTCTGTAAGAGTTCATGAGCCAATAGGTTGGAACCACTGGTTTAATCTTTAACAAGGTGTTATATTTTTTATGACTTTATCATAACTACTAACCTGAAAGGTAACCGGGAAATATTTTTTTTAGATAAATGTATTGGAGTAAAAAGTACAAAAACACCACAAGTATAAAGTGACATTCAATGGAAATACTAAAGTAAAGTTCAAGTACCTCATACTTAAATACAGTACTTGAGTAAATGCACTTAGTTGCTTTCCAGCACTAGATCAGTAAAACATAACATTAATATTAGCATCATAACCAGCTCTAAGATGTGTTAGTAACAGACCATAATAACCAGATAAAATACTCTGACTCACTTAGTGGTGGGAGAAATATTTGGTCCCAATACAATAGTATGAAATTAGCTCTTCACAATACAAAATGTTATTTAAATTAGCCTATAATAAAGTTTTTGTACTCATTATACTGCCTGGCTCCTTATTGGTTCCTGTTGTTACTGACAAAATAATGTGTAAGCAGCGTTTGAAGTAATGTACCATATTTAATAACAGGTAGCTAGAAGGTAGAGCTGCAAAATACACTTGTAAAAAGAGTAAATGTCCAGTATTAATCTTTGAACTGCGGTGGTAGCAGTATAAAGTAGCATGTAATGGAAATGCTCAAATAATAATTTATTCATTACTGCACTTCAGTTAATGTATTTCGTACCCTCCACCACTGGAGACGCTAATCATATCTGCTCCACATATTTACTTAAAAGCAAGTTATGGTAGTTCCTACGTCATGTTCTTGTGAATTCAGACTTCTAATTGTGTTAACATTCATCATGAATACAACCAGAAAGGTCAGATCATTCCCTTTACCAGGAAAAACTAACCCAGAGGAAAATAAATGGGTGGTCAATACTACAATAATTGGTTGCTTTTAGTTGATGAAGTCTGGCCATATTGAGTATTTTATTTATTTGTGTAATAATTTGTAAATGTTTCTAAAAGCTTTACTCAGGAAGGTAAAAGCACAAGCTGCAACAGGTAATTTATGTCTAATTTGTAATATCTAATTAGAATTAAAGAGTCTAAATATTCTGTTTATCTACTTTACTTTCTAATCTTCCTTCAACTTGCTTTTTTCATTTGCATCAGAAGTTTACTTTCTTGTGTTTGCGATTTTTGTTGACGACAGTGTCGTTACAATTACACACACAATCACATGAGTTTGGTGACAACTCATGCTGTCAGGTTTAAGATTTTGGGCAATGGAGGAGAGTAAAAACCTAAGATCACCTGAGCAGTGTTCTCCTCCAGTGATTACTGATCTGGTTTTCAGGATAATGTTTCAAACCGCAGTCAGTCAGGTTGATCTTACCGTATGATGTAGACGGAGATCAGGCGTGTGTGGCCGCTTAGAGAAACCGTTTGAAGGCAAAGAATGAAAGAAATCAATCAAACCGCCTTGGGAGAATAACAACAGAGGGACATGTGTGTATATGAGGAAGAATAGAGTGTGCACACACTTGCATATGTGTAATTCATCCGTGGGTGGTAATAGAGCCACCTCAGGGCCACGGCAGCCGTCAATCGTTCACATGCAGCAACAATAACTGAGGCGACCTGACGACACAGGCCAAGATTTATGACAGGTCTCTGAAGGGAGGGAGGCTTTTATTGAGGGAAATCCATATTCAGCAGATGAACAGTGTTTGTGTTACAACAGCCAAGCAGCTGACATGTATACATATCAATCTCTTCAGGCCTCTGAACATGTACTACCTACTATGTATCCGGATCTTTACCGCAGGTGTACAAGGTGTGTGAGGTGTGATGGCGCTGTGCTCCGAGGCCTGTGTCTCTGGCTCAGGAGGAGAATCCTCCGGGAGTGAGGTGAGCTGCGCTTTCCCTGTTTTATTTGATTTTCATTACAGCTACAAGAGTCTTATGATCAGCACCAGGCAGATGTAGAGAGGACATTTAATATAGTTTGATCATGCTTTAAATAAGAGGCCAGAAATTACAGAGTAGATATTTTCTATGTACAGGGTACCAATGCTGGGGCTGCTTTATTTAACAGCCCACATGCCCCAAACTTACCCTACAACAAGGAAGCTTTCTCCCACATATCTAATGATTCATCATAGAGGAAATGTACCAGCACTTCAAAGAGCCACCCATTACCTCAGACAGGACATAAACGCTGTTGTTAGTCATCATTTTAAAATAAATGATACCACAACTAATTTCACAGCAATATCTTCTTACCCAGTAACAGTATAACTGTACTCTGTATTTATCAAATAGGTATAGTATATTGAAAGTATTTTATTGATGCTCATTTGTACTAAATTATTACACTGTATTTTGTAGGCTGTAATCTAATGTCAAATTTGACACTTTTTCACTGTTTTATCTGAAGTGTTGATCCATAAGAAGATATATTTGGGCTTTTAAGCACGAAAAACCATCTCAATGCGGTTTTACATCTCCTCTCTCAGGCTTCTCTCTGGAGCTCTAGTAACAACAGGTCAGTGAGCCAATCAGAGGAGAGGAGGCTCTAGGCCTCTCTTCTGATTGGCTGACTGTTTCCTGAGTAAAAAAAAAAAAATTCAGGTGAACAATTAGACAAACCAAATCCTGCAAGGTTGGATGGTGGATCCAGGTGGGCGGGGCTTGGGGCATGGCTGAGAGTGGTGACTGCTTTGTTGTGACATCACAAAGTTACAGAAGTCATGACGGCTGGTTTTGAGGCTGAGTTTCTGAATACAGGCTGTGTGCATTTCTCTGTGGACTGAGGCTTTGATACTTTCACAGTATTAATACAGAACATAGTCCTACTCTGAAATCAAAAAAGACTAGCAAATCTCACTTCATACAAAATGGGACCTTGAACTATACTTTCTTCAAACGTGAAAGAGGGTCAAATGTGATCATGGAGGACTGTGGTTCTCCAATGTTATGTGGTCTCTTTGTACACCAGGCGGGTTCTAGCTGTCTTCAGTTTGGGGTTCGTTCCTATCTGCACCACTTCTACGAGGAGTGCTCGTCCTCCATGTGGGAGAGAGACCCGGAGGATCGGGGGTTCGTCCAGAGCCAGAGGTCAGCCCTGTTGTGGAACTCAGCAGTCTGGAAGGTAAAGCTACGACAAGCTCCAACCTGTTTGTATGACTTAACTCAAAACAAAATCAAAACAGAAACAAATCATTAAAAAATCCATGAAATGCAGCCTACTCTGGTCTTTCATGTAAATGATTAGCAGTTACTGATTGATATAGCACAAGTGCTGAAGCATGATTCCCTGGGGAGACACGGGGTCAGACCCTCATTGTTCAGAGTAGTATATTCAGTGGCTGATGTCCCATAACTATAGATTTCTTTATATCATTATGTCTTATGTTTCCCATTATTGCAATTTATCAAATCATTCCTGAACGGAGTTTAATGAAAAGGATGAAAAGTCGCATAAAACGTGTTTTAAATCTGTCTTTAAAATCCTCTTGATTTTAGGATAGATCGGGTCCATACGTATTGAGACAAGGTTTTCAAATGAATGTTTTCCTGTTGTACACAATAACCTTGTACAACTGGCCTCTATTCTATCTTTAGTCCCTTCTACTTCAAGCACAATAATGTTACTATGACTTGCTAACTTGAACTGGATCCATTATTAGTTCCCTCTTTGGTGACTGCTTCAATTAATTCAGTTGAGAGCTCTTTTCAGGCTCACTGTGAATGTAAAAGCCTTGAGTTCGACCCATTTCAACAATACAGAAAGAATCAGTTTTTTTTTTCATTCAGACTGCTTATGAGATTGAGGATTCGGGAGAATTTTTTCCTTATTTTCTCTAAATGTGGACTCAAAATTCACCATGCATTGCCGTCCTTGTCACAGCCGACTGCACTGTTGCCCCCGGGGAGAGCAGCAGACAGAGATGTGCCACCTCTGTGTCACCTGTTGATTGTTTTCCCCTGCCAGTGATGAGCTTCACCACTGTAATAACTGTAAAAAGAATCTCCCTCTGATATACTCATGTAATATTGTGCTTACAGTGCATTTTAACCAATTGTCTCTGTATGATGAACTACAGGCAGTGGTGTAGTGGTATTTGTAAAGGTGAAGCATTACATGCGAGCCCTCTGCCCATTTGGCAATTTGGATTTTTCTGCATCACAAACAACAAAATGACCTTTCCTAACAAGAAGGGAAGAGCACTGAGCACTGAGTGCCACCAGACTGCACAAATTACCGCTTCAACTTTCTCTCTCCTCCCTCCAGGTGTCCTTGGCCCTGGGTCTCCTGATCCTGACCGCAGGCATCGCCAGCCTGTCAGTCGGTTACTCCACTCCCCATAAAATCGAGTCGTTCGGAGAGGGAGACCTGTTCTTCGTGGACACCCAGGCCGTCAGCTTCAACAGGGGGCTGCACCTCAGTGCCGCGGCCGGGATCGGGCTCTCCTGCCTCGGCTCGGCCCTGGCGGTGATGGGGGTCGTCGTTTGGATCCTCCCCGGGGCCAACCTGAAAGAGAGGCTGTTCCACAGTGCGGGGGAAAGGGAACGGAGAGGAGAGTTACAGTCGAAGTGGAGGGGATTCAGGGATCCGGGGGACGTGGTCACTAAGCCCCCAGGTATTGAGGAGGGGAAGATACCTGTCACACTGTCGAAAGTGGAAAATGTGCAACCCACTTCTTAAAAAGGCTTTTGTTGTGGTCCAGGGGTCTCATTTACAAGCTTTAATTATTGTTTGTTTTTAAAGATAAATGTCTTTTCAGAACGCTAATGGAGGTTGTTTCGTGACCTGGGCATTACAGATAGACATAAGATGTAGACAAGGGACTTTAAACACTTAAAAGCACAGCTTGATTTGAATAACATGCAGTTTTTTTTTTGTTTTGTTTTTTTAAATAAATCCAAATTAAAACATATAAATGAGGCCCCAAGAGTTCAACCAAAGACCTTGTGCTTCGTACTACAGAATAGGGATATAGCTGTTGACCATAGACTGTGTTTGTGCAGTGCACTAGTCATATTTTAAAGATATAGTGAATAATATCCAACCCGACACTAAAAGAGAGCAGAATCCTAATGACTGATTGTAGAAAATTATATTTTTACTCCTTACTTGATAGTGTTTGTTGTATTTTTGCTCTATATTTTTATGTTATTTTTTAAATGGTAATTGTATCAGCTGTCCACATAGTTAGACATATTGCATGAATCACACAGAAAAGCTACATTTCCATCCCCATGCATACACATTTAAAGGACATTCAGAAAGGTGCTCACATAAAAAGAATCATTAACAATTCTCTATCTACATTTTCACATATCCACACTAATGCTCAGCCCGCTGTGCTGAACACATGTACAGTCACATGCACTTGCAGTCACCCGCTCACCCAGACACCCACACACACACAAATTCGTGCTTCATTGACAATATCACCTATTTTCTCCCCACTGTAATCTGGCTCTGTAATTGCCTGCAATCTGTGTCTCCAGGCAACAGTTGGGCTTCAAGTGCTCTATTTTCAACTCTGAACAAAGACTCTTTTCTGATTGGTCCCTCACACCCCCTCTCTTTATTTTCGCACCAATCAGATTTTTTGTTTACAGGCTTACACAGTAGTAGTGAGTAAGTGGTGAAGCACTGAGGTGAGGGGATTTTGCGGTGGCACCTTCGAGGCCATCTGTTTGATTGGGTGCTGCGGTTTTGTTAAATTAGTCTGAATAATAGAGTACACATTAGAAAAAAATGTAAAAAAAGAGAAGAACCATAATGTCCTGTTTTAACGGCACTGATTCCCTGTTGTTGTTTCATTTTTATATTGTGTTATTGGCTATGATGAAGATTATGGAGTCAAATGAGGGTCAAGTGTCTCTGGTGCAAATCAAAATAAACTTGTGATCTGCAAACCTACATTTTTTAAGTCTGTGGTTCCATCTGATCAAACTGTTACAGTATAAAAAAAGCTATTTATTATATTGTAAACCTGCAACCAGTGATATTTTTGGTGTCAATGCACAATCAAATATCTCTAGTCATGTGAAAGTGTTGCATGTAATACTGACTCCACGAAGGAAAAACTATTCACCAAATGAAACTTGATGTAGCTTGTAGCATATTTTAGCCTCTTTTAGCAAATTGTTTTGGTTCTTTAAGGTTCAGTTCGTGCTCTATTACAACAGGTTCTTGAGACGTGCTCTCTGACCGTGTTTGAAATCAACTGTTTATAGTTGTTCTTGAAGGTGAGGTGAAAAAATGATTCAAGAGAACTTGTGGCTTTGGACCGATTTCCTCTTGGTTTCAAACTAAATTCACAGGTGACCCACCAAGCTGGTAGCATTCGACATGTACAGACAGTTATCATTTCTCCACAGGGGGAAGATCCTTGTTTGACGACCTCCCACTTAAGTTATGAAGCACTTTGTTTAAGCTGTAACTTCATGTCAAACTCTTCTTTCTTCATTTACGTCACAGTACTGTTTTGGGATGACACAGCGTTGACAACTGTAGTAATATTCTTAATATATATAATATATAATAATGTTCCCCTAACGCCACTACTGACACTAAATTAGCCATGTTTTCATCTGCTGATTTCAGGCAGTGTGGAAGAATCTTTCCCTCACAAACCACAACTGGTTCAACAAGTGTGGACCTCCTTGTGAGGTGGAATAAGCTATTTACCATAAATTGGTGTGATATGAGCAAACTACATGAAAGAGATAAGAATAGGATGAAAACATAACAAAGCACACTTACATCCTCCATTTGGCCCTTTCCAGCAAAAAACCCCAGACAAGTTGAGGGCATGACTTTCAGCACTAACTGAGAAGAGGCACTTTTTAGAGTGGGTAGTATAAAATGTTGAATAGCTAAAGATCTAGATATTTTTCTCAGTATTGCTAGATAAAAACAGGCTTAAAAAGGAGATATTTTTAGACATTTACATATAATAATTAGTATATTATACTGATCCCTGATCCCTATGACAACTGAGCAACTCCATCCACTGATGAAAACTTGAAAGTTTCCAAAAAAAGCTAGAAAGTTGACCTGTATAGCATTTTTCCACCACATGGTACTGACTCTGCGCTGCTCAGAGTCAGAGTTGAGTTCCGAGATGGACTACAATGCTCAACTTTGACACAGCCAAGAGAACTGATCGGCGGACAGCTGTCAGTGGTGAATGAATAAACGATAAATAAACTGACTTTACTTTGGGATTTATCACACAAATGAGCGTGTTGGAATTAATCAGTGAGTGCTCAAATAACACAACACTGCTTCTTTAGGACCGAGCAGAAGTAAATCTTGATTTTGGGATGTGCCTTTTAAAATCAACTAGTTTTTCTTTCAGTCCTGAAAAGGTGACATTTTAGAGCTTTAGAAGTTTTCAGTCACTGAAAATATTAAACTGCATACTTCAAAATGTGCAGAACGATCAGTAACACACACAGTAAATCAAACAATAATTAACGATAATTGCCAATGTTGCTAGGAAAGAACACCTATAAGCAATATAGTCAGTAAGAGCGGCACGTTTGTAAAAGGGAGTACTGTATAGTTCAAAATGTATTCTTACAATTTCACTGTGAAATGTGGTGGAGGGCAGGTGCACAAGTGTGTGTGTGTGTGTGTGAGAGAGAGAGAGAGAGAGAGAGAGAGAGAATATATTTATGTCTGAATAGGTACATCATGTTACTTTGGTGAGATGACTCACAGCTATGAGTGTGACTCATCTCGTCTTGTCTCCCAAGTCACATAAACAGGTGGGACACCTAACATTCACTAATCAAAATAGTGCACACACACTCTCTCACACACACACACAGACACACAAATATTCTAGGCCACAACTTGTACTCAGAATCATATTTGATTTGCAGCACATTTAACTTTGCTTTTGCCTTTTTTTAACGTTTGTTCCACTACTTTCAAAGTGTGTTATCGCTGGACTGATATAATCCTATATCGATCTGATCATGACCTTTTATAAAATATGCTCCGTTATAATGAAGGTTACCCTGACCACTGTAGAAAAACAAATCCTTTTGTATCATAAATTATAACAATCAATATCATTATTTTAAAGGTCACCTCTATAAAACAAACAATGATTGAATTTTTTTGTACATCATGTTTGAATTCTTTTCTTCTTTCTTCCTGTGGTAAAATCATCGACACATTATGCCTGCATATGAGCTAGTGTCAGTGTCATCACAGGAACTATTTTCCTTGTTGTCAACATGCCCCTCACACACTCTGAGCGCATGTTTGCATGGCTGATTTGAGCATGCTCGGTTTATTAGCGAGTGTATGTAAGTGCATAATGAGATAGAAAAGTGGAAGCGGTGGCAGCGTTTCCTGTGAAGATGGAGGCTGATACGCTCCGCTGACTGCAAAGCTCAGAGTGTGAGTCACACTGTTGTGGGAGAGAACCACACAGCCGTGGATTGGGCTGCAGTCTGCTCGGCTGATTGGCAGACCCATCCATCCCAGTGTTAGTGTGTGTGTGTGTGTGTGTGTGTGTGTGTGTGTGTGTGTGTGTGGTGGTGGGGGGAGGGGGGGTGTTGTATCTCTGGGTGCCTGAGAGTCTGCTGCACTGATATGATACTGTAACGTCTCATCTGCTGTGGAAAACAGATAGAAAGCTGGAATGTGTCTCAGCTTGTGTGTGGGGTTGGGTACAAAAACATGTCTTTGACAGTCATCTGAATAAAATAAAATAAAACAGTTTCACAGTGTATATTTTTATTATTTTTAAGTAAATCATTATTTTTGCAGGAAACCCTGATTAACATCTTTATAAGAGGGACCTGCCAGAAAAAAAGGACTGCAGTGACATCATTACTCAATATAAAACAAGAAAACATCAGGCTAGGAGGAACTATAGCTTATGAGCATTTCATTTCAGTAAACCCCAGTAAAGGTCATGGGTCCAAAATATACTGAATACAGTTTTTAAAGGAAAACAAAGGCGTAAACACTGTAAATAACAGCTGTATTGTCACTTGACAAAAGCAGCACTATGTCTTCAGGGCAGATTGGAGACTGCAGTGAGTCGCTATCGGAAAGTGAAATTAGCGAGAACAGCCGGGGCTAGCTGGTTAACGTGCTAACTTCAGTAGAAGAAAAGACGTGATAGAGATGTTAACTCTAACATTGCCACATAGCAAGTCAACGTTGCCGTTGCTTTCCACAGCTGGAGACAGCTCTTGGTGAGTAAAGGAATGAAGTTTGATTCAGAACTCAATGTTTTCTCTAGACTGGTAAGTAAACAGTTGTCACTGCTAATGCTGGCTATGTAGCAATAGCAAAACTTACAAATAGGTCTTTTAAGACCAATACCAGACAACTGACAATATAAGATAAAGATGAGGACAAACGGTGAGGGTCACAGTATCAACAGACAACATCTCTAACCAAAATCAGTTCATTGTTCTGTTCGTCTCCTGTTTGTAGAGCTTTATGCATGATGTCATACACTGAAATGCTGTTCAAATGTAAATCAAAGGTGCAAAACTGAAATGTTTGCTTAGAACCTTTATAGTTATTACCACTCACAACTTTCCCTTCTCGCTCTTCTGCACTGTTTTTTTACAAATCACACATTATATTTTTGGAATTCCCTGTTGCTGCGCTACACAAACAGAGCAGAAAGTTAATTCAGGCAGATTCCTACTATCACCAATCACAGTCTCACAAGTCAGTGAGGTAATGTTTATCATCTGACAGTCATTCATACCACTGCTGCCGTTTCTGTTTCTACCTGTTTCTCACTCCTCTCACCCTCTCTGCTGAATTCTCACTCCATCATCCACCCTCCTCCTCCTCCTCCTCTTCTTCTAGTTTCTTATTACCATACTTAGAATGGCATCTGTTGCCTTGTGCGTTTATGAGCTTCCAGTATATCAGTGATCTGTATCTGCTCATGTGTGTTCAGTGTACCTCTTGGGGGGATTTAATGTGCTTTCTTCAGAATTTTGCACAGCTTGGATTCATTTGGGGAGCAGCCAAGGAGTTATCTGCATTTGGTCCAATAAATGATCTTAAACCCTTTGACTTTACATGTGACAGAGGAAGAAAACAAAAAGCACAATATTGAAATGTCACAGGATTTTATAAATCTGTATGATTTTTTTCCTTTGCCATGGACATGACCATTGTGAACTTGACCGCTGTGACCATTGTAAAAGTTGTACAGGGAAGCTAGAGGAAGAGAAGAGAGGCAAAGAGAGTCACACCATCACTTCCATTTGTCATTACATGCCCTCATGCTGAAATTAACATTTTCCTCTATACAAACTAAACATGCACATAGCTCCATTACAAGTGAAAGCAACAGCAGGCGTTCACATCGCCAATGAGCTCATCAAAATTCTAGAAATGGTTATGGTTGACCACGCTGATCTTTCACACATCTCTACATGAAGCAATGTTATTTCCCTCCGCAACTGCAACTCAATCTAAGCATTTGCAATGGCCAAATTCTTATCTGAGCAGCACAATGTACTGTACAGTCCATCACCATGAAATACTTTGCTGCAGGCCACGAAATGTATAGTCTATGTGCAGGGAGTTAACAGTATGTGCAGTAATATGGAGAAAGTCATGTCAGTTAGTATATATTTCTATCAAGTATAATTTTACTGTAAAGCATTTCAGTACAACATGTACCATTTTAAACAGTAGATGTTCTCTCTCTACATTCAGGATGAAGTTCTCTACATCCCACAACCAATCAACCTTCACTTAGCTGATGTTAAAGGCTCCAAAGATGAAACACGATCTGGTGGGCAGACCAGCACTCTGCCAAAAGTCTCATTACAGGAGCACAACCTCCCACAACAGAGAGAAATCTTCCAATCAG